TTTACCTTGGTATCTTCTGCCCTGGCACCTCGCTTGCATCCTCAATCAATTGTTCTCAAGGGGGTTTATGTATGAATGGGAAGGAGGGCCATGTTTCAGAAAGATTAGTTCCCACACACAAAAACACTGAGTAAGGAAGAAATGGAAAACATATAGGACATACGGCTCACAGTAATCCATCAGAAAACATCTAGAAAGATTACTATAAAAGTCCAGAAAGATTAAACATTAAAGATTAAAATTCTAGGGATTAAGTATCTTCTGTGTTGTATTAGAAATCAGAAAAAAAAAAAGTTCCTATACTGATTTCAAATTTGGTGCATTTATTTTCCTTAAAGAATCCAAAATAATTCAAAATCATCAAGAAGAAGAAAGAAGTATGGATTTCCAAGTAAAGATGGTAAAGTTATTTTTTTTAAGATTTATTTATTTATGCATACAGAACTGGGGTACAGGCCAGAGATGTAAGGGGTGTGAGAGGTGTCACCAGAGACAGAGTGGGGAGCAGAACAGGCAGATCAATGAACTACACTGCTGAGGGGAGCAGTGGGCAGACGTCTGCCGTGCCATGTGGACCACCTCGCGGCCAGGTGGGGACGGAACTCATGCTGAAGTGGTTTTAGTGTCTTAGTGCTTAACCTGCTGCGCCACCAGGGAGGGCCCAAGAGTTATTTTTTAAAGCCTTAACTCACCCAAACAAAAAGAGGTAGAAGAGGGCACAAATGGCTTGGGATTTGGAGAGTGGCCATAAGAATAACAAATGATGCAGCAGACCCAGTGCAACAAGAGAGGTCTCAGAAAAGCAACCTGACTTACACTACAGGCCCCCGGAAAGGTCAGAACTAGCAGCCTCACTTTGGGAGGGAAAGTAAAATGCTGAAAACAGGAAGACTTGGGGGAAGTCTAGGCAGCAATTTATAGCATCCTCTTCCATACACACAGGCAACTGCCCTGCCCTAGGCTAGTAGGAGATACCTGGGGTGAAGCCCAAGGTATCTGGGCTGGAGGAGATTCCACATAGTTGAGAGCAGGAATGGTTCATGGAAAGAGTGAAATTAAAAGAGTATTTCCAAAGTAAAGATTCTTCCATGCCTCTTCTGCAATTCCACTCAAAAAATACAGAAAGCTGTGACTATGCTCCAAACTGAAGACTAGAAGATTATTCTCTGGGAACAGTTTTCCTCCAAGAGGAAAGGCATGAAAACAAAAAGAAAAACACTGACAGAGGGGTTTCCCAAAGAAGTGGCCTAGTCATACCACCTTACAGCTAATAAGTCACCCATTCAGTTTTTTACTGTCTCTTAAGGAGTCAACCAAGGATCACCAGATGTCTGAGGAAAGTCTTTAAAATAAACAGGCAAATGCAACCTAAGGATGGGAGCTTGAAGGCTGAGGAAGGAGAACAGATTCCATGCACTAAGAAGAAAACGTCAAAAATTACACATAGATATTGTATTCACAACAGAAGACCAGAATTTTTTTTTTAAATCATAAAATAGAAGGAACATTTACAGAGTAAATAAAAGCACTTGGAAACTAAATACAGAAATGAAAAACTAATTGAAAGGTTGAGATACATATTAGAGGAAATTTGTTAGAAAGTGTTAGGAAATTATGAAGCTGTAGACAAAAAAGAGAAAATGCATTGAGAGAAACAGTGCAAGAATTCCAAAATTCAAATAATAACAGAACTCAGCATAAAGGAAATCATCAATGAAGTAATTCAAGAAAATTGTCCAGCACTTAAGGTCAAGAATTTCAGGGATTCAAAATACCTACTAAGTATCCAGATGTAAAGAAATGCATGTGAACACCTATCACAGAACACTAGGAATAAAAGTAACGACCTTACAAGCCTCCAGAGAGAATGACAGGTCACATACAAAGATCAGGAATCATGATGGCTTTAGAAATCACAGTAGAAACATGGAAATAAGAAATCAATTAGAAGTTATCAATATTTTATATATATAGATAGATAGATAGATAGATAGATAGATAGATAAATATATATAGATATATATATATATATATAGATATAAATATATATAGATATATATATTATATATATTATCAATATTTTATATATATAGATAGATAGATAATTTAAAAAATTAAAATTGATCATGTAAAGCTATTCCTTTTGTCATGTTATTTACATAACCAGCACTTTTTCTTCAAATCTATAGAATATCAACTTATATGACATTGTATAAATGAGACAAAAATGAGATGTAGCCAGATAAATTAAATGTGGTGTTTATAAAAAAAATGAAAATCAAAATCCAAAATATTTTAAAAACTGTAACCTTAGACACATCTATGTATCTCATAGTTCTCAATTTTATATCCAGCGTAGAAAATATAGCCAAGTTCTTTCCCCCTTTATTCCATCATTTGAAAGTGATGACAATCTCATGCCACTGTTTTGTCCTAAGCCCCAGATGCTCTTTAATCTCTCCACTTTCTATTACCATAGGTCACCATCACCTTTCCAAATTGCTTTAATGCTGTCAGTTCTCCATCCTACCAGCAGAGTGATCATTCTAAAATTTAAAGTCAATCACACTACTTTCTTGCTTAAAACTCTTCAATGGTTCCCACTACCTTTAGAAACATAAGGTATGAATTCCTTAACTAGGCATGTAAGACTTTCATGATCTGACCTTAGTTACCCCTTGAGTTCATTTGTTAACACTTTTGGGATGCTTTTACCATCCTACTCCATCTCTAGGTTCTACACAGCCTCACTGAAGTCCAGGGCACTGAAGTCACACTCAGGTTGCTCTCCTCTTTGAACCTCTGCATCACTGTGCCCTTTATTCTAGAAGTTGTTACACTAAAATTAGATATATATTCCATATATAGGGCCCTCCCTGGTGGTGCGCTGGGTTAAAGCACAGCAATATGAAGCTATCTGCAGCCACTACAGCACGAGTTCGATCCCTGGCTAGGGAGGTGACCCACAAGATGCGGCAGACCTCTCCTGTCTTGCCCACTGTGCACCCCAGTAGTGTACTTCATTGATCTGCCTGTTCTGCTCCCCACTCTGTCTCTGGTGAATCCTCTCACCCCTGCATATCTGACCTGTACCTGAGTTCTTGTATGCATAAATAAAAATACATCTTTAAACAAATATATATAAATAATAAAATATACATTATCTATTTAAGTTATTTAGACGTTTGTGTCTGTACATTTATAAATGAGTATACATGCTTTTAAAACTTTTGGATAATTTTCTGTCTTTATAAGTTCTTTAAATGCCAATTTTGGATGCCACTTTAAGAATCTCTTCCTTAAGGTATAAGTTTACAGCTGATATCAGAAAGTTCTGAGATACATTATTCACATTTTTTGCACATATATTAAAAGCAACCAATCATTAATGTCAGCTGGAATGTTCTTCATGGCCCTTCTTCCCAAAGAAAGTTAAATTATGATCTTAGAGTTGGTTTCTCTGAGAAGGGGTTACTCTATTATAAAACATCCCTTCACTGGAATAGTGAGATCCTAGAATTTGAATACTTGTGTCTCAAAAGAATGCCTAAGCAGGCTGTTACAAAAAAAAAAAAAGACAAAACTTAAAAAAATTGGAAGATATTAGATGAACAGCTGTGTAGAAAAGGGAATGTAAAAATAAAAACTGAATGTTGGAGCATCAAAATAGTAACCATGTACAGTATATGACTGTTTTTAATCAGATGAAGATTGAAGCTATTACATTTCAAATCAAATGTTATAAATTAGTTCAAGAATGCAGCTGAGCTCTCATTTAATTAGAAATGTCCATGTTTAAATCATGAGGTACAGTAGCTGCCAATGAAGCAAAAGGGCAAGGGAAGGGAGAAATACTATGTCCAGACTCTCCGACTGTCAACTGTCTCTTACGCAGGACAAACATCTGGGGTGGAATAGTCCTGATGTAATGAAGAACTTCATGTACTAGCTAATTTGAGATTTAATGTAATTGAACATAATTGTTTTGAAGACAATTAAAATCATTATTCTGGTCTGGACAATTCTGAACTCTTCATTTTTGTGTGAAATGGATTTCGTCTCATGCTGAATTTTAACTCTTTCTTGGGTGAAACGCAAAGCAGATTTGGGGCCAAGATTTTCTTGGAAAATAACCTGAAGATTGTCAGGTCAGGTCAAAATGCAACACAAGCAAAGAGGTGCTCCTTTGGAAACCCGTCTCACTCCCTGTATTTCAGCTACTCGGTGTAGCAATCCAGACCTACATTTCCAATGTTAGACAGCTCACTATTAAATAAAAGTGAAACAACATCATACAGAGACTTCTGAGGTCATACAGAAAAGAATGCAATTATCCTAAAGCAAACTTTTCCCTAAAGGTTATGAGCCTCTGCATCTCGTAATTAACCATGGTGCAGCTAGACAGTCCAGGCCAAAGGTCTTTTCTCCCAATTTGCCTAATTCAAAAACACCTCAAGTGACATAGCTTGAATTTTCCAAATTAAACTTTCCCCTGGGGCTGAAATCAAGCATGTGACAGTTCAGTTCTAAAGAAAATCTTAAAGAGAGTCGTGTATAGGGATAAAAGAAAAAAAATCAGAGGAAAAGGGGGTAGGAGTTAACATTTAAGTGGTTTTTCAACCTCATCATTACCTCTGCTTGAGAAAATAGGACACAGATGGGTAGAACACACCAGCATTCTGCCCTGAAGAGTCTAAGGAACTCATTAGAAACTACTGCTGTTTCCTCGTGCTCCTTGGTGAATTTTTAAAGGGACAAAATGATCGATTTGCCACATCCTACAACATTCAGTTTTCCAAAGTATCCTGGGGTGGCACGTGAAAGGACGAGTCACAAAGACACAGTGTGCCACCGCCACCCATGAAAGCCAACTGTTGATATAATTCTTCAAGGTCGACTTTTCCCAGGGAGTTGAGCAGTGATTATATTGTCGCAAGCTGTTCTGATTTGTAAAAATGGTTTCCATTAAGGAATAACATACGACCCCAACTTTCTCTTACGTCTGGCCACAGCGCCACACTCCTCCACTCCGACACCACAGAGGGGGTAGATGGGAACCAGGTCCACTGCTCCCAGGCAAGGGTGGATCCCCTCTTGAATCCCCATATCAATAGACTGGAAGGCCTCCACGCAGGCAGCCAGGACAGAATTGCCTTAAAGTTGTAAAAAAAAAAAAAAACCTTTCAATCGCATCTAAAAAGGCAGCTACTTAATTTGCTTTCCTTTTGTTAGTTGCATAGATTACATTGTTTTGACATGCAAAATAAAGAAAACTAAAAGATCCAATAATTCACTTTGTCTAAACTCTCAACTGCGATAGTTTCATTTTTCATTACTTCTTATGGGAACTGCATAACTTTTTTTAAACAACTTTGCTGTTTATTTATAACTTCAATTTCTAATGTTATCAAATGAATCAATAAGATTTTTTATTATCAGACTGATGAATAATTATATTAATATGTACAAACGCAAGATTTTTTAAAGCATAAATTTTTTTACTTTTTCTCTTGTTCAGTCATTACATTTTTCATTGAATTACTGTACTTAATACTTGATCTATATTTCATAGATATCTAAGAGTTTTACATTATTATTCTGAGTTTTCATTAGCAGAGAGTCCATCCTATGTTTGCTGGAAGTTATCAGTCAGCTCTTTGTCTTCAAATAAACATATTTTTTGAAGGAAAGAAATCTAGTAGGTTGCAATCAAGTTTATTTTGAGATTATTTACTAAGATACTTAGAACCCTTTACCATAGAATATTAAGATAGCACAGTATTTTGTTTAATTAGTCATCATTGTTCAAATCCAGTTGTCCCACTAACCCTTATGACATCCTATAAGACATGGATTCCATTTCATTTCAACCCATGCACCATGAATTCAGTATTTCAGACTCCTGTCCCAAAATACAATTGCTTAGCATGTCATTCCATGCCAATTTATTAGTGAAAGGCTGACTTCAACACTATTACTTCACAGATTAAAATTTCAAGATATTTGTCTTAACCACAAAGGATATTGAATCATCTTCTGGTAAAAAAAAAAAAAAAAAAAGTTATTAAATCTTGGGTAAGGTTCATTTTAATAACAGGAAAATTAGAAATGCTTGAGATCTTCAGAAAAATGATAAAATGTGGTTTTGAGGTAATAGAGGGAAGTATTCAGACTTATACAAGAACACAGTGATTAAAGAACATTCAGATTACCTGAAGCCTGTGTGTGTGGTGTAAAAAAGAAACTGAAATCTTACCTAACTTATCAATAGATCCTGCAATTGTGATGACTGATCGGTTGTAGTCTTGATCAGAAAATATGTTGAGCACTGATACTTCAGGATATTTCTGTCCTGTAAGGAAATACAGCTCATAAATGCAAGAACATTTTTTCTACAATGAAATCTTACTACTTTATTACTTCTGATACAACTAGTTTAGTAGAAAAATTCGGGACGTGACCGGCTGTACACCCAGACTGATAGCTCAGACACTGGCCTTGGATGTGTACACAAGACCTTCTACTGGACTTGCTACTGTGTTTGGCAAAGTTGTCTTAATTTCATCTACAAAGGTGACCTATTCTTTCAACTGCCAAATCATAGCACTCTAAATTTTGCTCTTTATCAAACTCATCTTCCAGATTTTATCACTGGTTCCTTCCAAAACCCAGAAATCGAACTGACAGGATGACAGTCTGACATCTGGGAGAGCTAATAGGGGAACCAGTGCCTAAAGCGAAGGCTTCTAGGATGCGTGCACCTGTCCTAACGTTGGGATTCCACATTCTCCTTTGCAGAGGCCACCAACAGCCTTCAGAAGTTAACGACTTCCAGCTTTCTGTGGCTTGTGACTCACTTGAATGTGTAACCTGGAGGAGAAAGCGGCCCAACGCTTGTATGGCAACCACACATAACCCCAAAGTTATTTTTGAAGTTTACAAGCCTGGTTCAGACTCTTTAAAAGTTCCCCTTAAGCCTACAAAAGCAAATTCAAAGTGAAGGACAAAAGTTTTCAGGCAGTAATTAAACCGTTAGCTATGCCATTATACCTTTGTCGCCCTGTCCCCTGGCAGCTTTACAATTAATCTTTTCAGAGGAAAGGGAAAATAAGTTACATGCACGAACTACAGCAGTCCTACACTATTAATTTTTATAACGTGAAAAGATAAACATAAGTCACCCACATAGTCAAATGAGCATCTATAGAGCTCACCAGTGTATACCTTGGTTTGGGTATAAAATTTATAACTCAGGTTTCTTTACCTAAGAACTTTTAGGCCATTTTTTTCCCACATTGCTTAATTAGAAAAAAATATAGATCATACAATTTTATTCCACTTAAAAAATAAATACCTCTAGGATATCTGTGAAACAACAGGTCATAATTTTAACTAGGGCTACCTTCCCTGCATTTTTAAAACTATAAAAGAAGCAGTAAGAACAAGATTACACACCCTTCTATTTTATGTATTTTTCAACATATTCCAGCTCCTGGAAGAAAAGAGATGATTTGATTTTTCCATCCTAAAGCGTCTCTGAAAAGCTTTTATTCTCAGTTTCATATGATTCAATTGAATCAAATGTTGAAAGAGTAAAATACTCTTTCTTGTAATTTCTTAAGCCTGCATATAGGGGAGAAAAAAATTCTTCTGGCGGGAGGAGCTGTCAGTATGAATCTCAGCAGAAGTAAATTGTTTGGTATTTGTAATGGAGTATAATAGCTATAATTCCATTTGAGCTGCTACCACTAATATGCTGATAAGAACTGTGAGTTGAGACCCAGGCGTCCATCAGTGTGTGCTTGCCACAAATGTCTCTGCACATTCACTTAATCACAGAGACAGGTAACTCAATCCCATTAGATGCACTATGTCTGAAATTGAGGGGCCTATGCTGGCTCTTCCTATAAAGAGAATGCAAAAGCACAGCTGCATACTGACTCCAGAGTTTTCTTATCATCGGTTATCAGGAATTTTCATAGACATTTCCAGCTCCTGCCAAGTTACAAGACAGTAACTTAATGTGTTCATCGTTGCTAGAAATGAACTGGGGAAAACACTTCTTTCTCCTGAAAAGCCATAATCAAATAATAATAAAAAAAAAAAACGACAATCAGAAACTAAAATATAATCCCTCCGATGCTTCCAGGCTGTGACCCTAATGCTCACCTGTTGCCACCAAATCTGACTGATCTAATAACAAAGTGTTTCAATTAAGTCTGTATGTAGCGCTGTGATTTGTGTGTGCAGAAATAAAAACAAGTGACACTAGAACTATGTGTCATCACATGAACATTTTAACAAGGGTTTAAAAAAAGAGTGAAAAAGAGAAGTGTCTCTTCTAGTAAATACTGGTCCAGAGAGAAAGGAGGCTTGAATTGCTGAGTGATCTCATGCACATCACTTAAATGCAATGCCAAGAGTCTTTATACAGAGAAAATGGAGTAGAAATAACAAAGCTGTAATGATAGCATGGGTTTCGCTGGCAGGAGTGCTTTGAAAAGTAGTTGGTATTTGGCAAGTTTACTTTTGATTTAACCTGCTGAACAAAAAGCATAACGTACAATTATGCTCATTCTATTAATGATCGAATAAATGGCCCACGAGGGAAACATTAAACCTTAATGTAAATATATCCTCCTCGGGAGCCTGTGAACATCCTGAAACCCTGAGCAATGTGCATCTCAGACAACCACACTGCTAAGCGGAGCACATGCAGGCATTTGCAAAAGAACATACACATGTGCACCTCTGAGTAGCTGACCTAGCTCAGGCCCTGGAGTCCCACAGAAGCTCTGACAGCCCAAGAACATGGGGGTTGGGAGAGGAATCTAGGAAGAGAGGAGTGTTACAGATACTCTGCAGAGCACCAAAATCACTGTACTATCAAAACACTACATGCTCGTCTCAATTGTCTGTTGCTCCTACCATTTTTCCCAAGAGCTGCTTTTGCTATGTTCTCAACAATGTGTTTTCTTCTGGCTTCTGAAATGTTTAGTAAACAGGCAGCCAAACGGAGCCCCAGTCTGGAAGAAGACATGGCGATTTTTCTAGAATAAAAGAAAAGAGATTTTTCATTTCTGTCCCTCCAGTTCATTCATATTTTCATGTTCATTAGCCATAAAAAAAAATTCAGTGTTTGGAAACCAAGCAGTCATAACATGAACATTTACTATGGCATTCCTAGAGATCACCTAAAGGATAAATTACTCGGGTTGACTCCCCCAGGAAATCATGTGTATATGGTCATACACACACAAATATGTGAACATAGTAACACCAGAAAATATGTGACAAGTTATTGTGCCTGAACTGTCACATCAATGAAACTTTTTCATTTAAGTACGTTATTCCCTTTTAAAGGAACACCCTTGTTTTCCTTATCCCTGCTTTCAAGGTCTGTACTACTTAACAAATAACCCTGATCCTTTTGTTAAACCGGACTTTTTGTGGCAATGCAGGAAAGAGAAAAGAGGACAGTTATTTAATATACTCATTCTTATGAAACTGTTCTTGTGGCAAAAAAAAAAAAAGTTATCTCTGTGGGTCATGCCACAGGAAGTGGCATGAACAACTAAAGGGATTCATTTAGGTGCTTCAAAGACAAGGATTTGACTAAGCTCCTCTTGTACTTTGCTCTCCAAAGTTTCTAAATCAGTTTAAAATTGAAGGACTTTTGAACTGAAAGTTGATAAAGACTCTGATGTTCTCAATAATGCCCCCAAATGTGACCAATTCTTGTTCAAAATGAATAAATTACAATAGTATGGGAGGTTGCTTTTTACCTGTTTCTAGAAAAGCATCTTTCAACGCATTATCTTGCCATACTTAAATGATATTATGAACTGAAGAAATTTAAATAGCTCAAAGTTATAAGAATTTCCCTTTCAAAATCAGGCTATCATATTTTGGGCTCTTAAATGTCCTGTCTAAAAATCAATGTGGCCCTCAAGAATTCATTCATTAAATATCGGAGAGGGGGCATTCTCCTTTCTCTCTGTCTGGGGGACTCTGCAGTGAAAGGCATGTGACTGAGATACCCATAGAGCTTATGAGTTAAAGCAAAATTTGCTCTGGGCTCTTGTATATGTATTCTGCCCTATTAATTATTGCTGACAAATAAACCTGCTACAGATGAGTAGAAACAATTAGAATTTTTTCCTAAACTATGCTCTGGGGCAAATAATCCTGGTTCTCAATGCATTAACCCCCTGGCTCCTGTTCACTAAAATAGTTGGTTGGCCTGATCATTCTAACCTAAAAGGCAAAGAAAGGTTCCATGGCAGGCTCAGGACTGTAGACGACAGCTTTTCATATTGTGACCATCATTTCATAATTGAAAATTCATAAAAACACAGTCATTAGGTTTTCCCTACACATTAATAAGATTGTTGTAATAAAGCAGCTCAGACCTCTCTCGTTTTTATGTAAACAAAAAATTGCTTTACACAAGGGGTGTGGGCGTCTTCTGGCTTTCATTTGTTTTCAGTGTGTTTATGTAGCTTAATTGTCTCATCAGGCACTTTCCCAACATAATTATGCTTTTTAACAAATGGTGTTTATGGCAACCCCTAACAGTGCAAAAGAAAGGATTAGTTTCATCCTCTCATTCCACATTTTGATTCCCTGTGGACAGCTAAATCACACAAAGATGGTGTTAGAAAAATCTACCTTCACAGCAAAAGCTGAAATTAGTGGCAGTACCAGGCTTTGGGGGAGCAGTCAGGCTTGTTAGTAAAAAGAATAAGCATTTTTCTCCCTTCTCCTGTGAGAAAGTGACCCAGAGCAAACCCCCCCTACCCCCCCCCCCCCCAATTTGTGGCGTGGGACAGTGTGATCCTAGTCCGCCCGGCCCTTCAATCACCTTTCCTGCACTTCAGTCCCGCTACTGTCCAAGTAGACCGGCCTCCTCGTCCAGGGAACAACACAATGGCAGGCACGAAGGGCGGCAGCTGCCACGGAGCCTTAAGGTCTCTCCCCTCCCGCGCACGCACCACCACCAGCCCTTCTAGGCCAGCCAGGGGACTCGCCGGGCGGCGGGGAGCGCGTCCTCCGGCTGGCTTCCCCGGCCCCTGGGGCCCCTGCGGCCCCTGCGGGCCCGTCCGGTTAGGGCTGGAGTGTCCCTGGCCACGTGGCGGAGGGTGGCCAGATGGACTCGGCGACTGTCCGGCCGCACCACGAGGCCCAGCGG